AGCCACAGTTAATACTATGTACTACCTGACTCTGAAGGAAATAAATGATAAATGCTTCTGTGGGATGTGATCAGTGTATTTTGGCATCAGTCCTGTAGCATCTTTGATAAAGCGTGTGGCACTTTTTGATATTCAATCTCACATGTCTCACCCCTAAGACAAAACAAAATAACCACAAAATTAATTTAAGCGTGTTTTGAAACACCTTCAGTCATGTTACCTGATTTTTCAAATGCTTTACACAATTATCAGACTTACGTGTTGACCTTGTTGCCCTGAGCTAACAAACTATCTATTCTCCTGCCCACCTGTCTACTCTGTGACAAGGACTTTTTCATGGGTAAGGCCACTAGCTGTGTGCTCCCAACACCCTGCAGATACTGCTGACACCTGGGACCTCTGCTTACATAAGGAACATAGGAGAAAATTATCCAAAGGAGGATGCTGTAGTGTTGTTTGTGGAAAAACACGCTTAAATACAGGAACCCCTGCAGATGTCATGCAGGACCAGCATGTTTTCAGCTAGATTCAGCTCTGCTCACAGTTAACTTCCTTCTACTCCTCTCGCTTCAAGGAGTCGATAGTCATCTAGATAAAGTGTGTGTGTGTGTGTGTGTGTGTGTGTGTGTTGGCGGGGCAGGGGGAGTGGACTGAGAAAATAAATCCATTATGATTGTCACTAGATGAAAAGAGGTCTGTGAACAACGCATTAAACTGCAGTGCTTCATCTGCAGCCTTGCTACGTGTTAGCACATCTACCATATGCAGTGTACTTGTGTAGGGGAAGCATCAGGTCAGCGCTGAGCTTGCTCTTTGTGCTAGAGAGGAAGAGGATATGTTCAGTCTGGTGTCTGCTCTTATCAGCTGATGGCAGACGGAAGTTCCTACTAGAGGTGCAGAGTTTATTCCTGAGAGGGAAGGAAATACTCCTTGTTGTCCTTAGGAAAGAGTCACCTTTCTAACTCCTCAGATTACTGTGGTTTAGCAAACTCTGGCATTCACAGCTGTCAGTCTCACCGCTCCTTTCTACTTTGAAACCTTCCGTGATTCTCAGTTACTTCTGGAGCACACCAATGTCTCAGTCCTCCCACATCAAATCCTGGTTACACACCTCTTAGCTGATTCCTTTGGTTTCCTTACACTCAATCCAGTACCACCCTCCTTTTACTTACCGACTCTGTTGCAGCACGCAGTATTCCCAGAGTAAGCTTTTACTGTATTTTTCATTTCTCCATGTTCCTGTAAGCTCACCTGTGGACACTGAAAGAAGGATCATAGTGGTCACAATCCACCAAGTTCTTAAAACAATTTTTTCCCATCACATGGTAGCAAACACTATGCCTTAGTTTGATGGCTTCTACTCTGGGCACAAAGGCAGTGGGATATAGCATCTAGTAAACTTTTCCCCATTATGACAGTCCCTGAAAAATGAGAAAATAGATACTACAAAATTATATCCAGCACCTACATAACTGTATGTGAAACAATGATACAGAATTTCTTGGTTTGCAGAAAAATGCTTGCAGTTGGCTAACTTCATATACTGCCCTTAGTCCTTTTCTATCAGTGAGGTATATGCTCAGCTGCTTTTGACATACCCCTTAGTGATGCTGAGATCATCTCACTTTTTATCTATGAGCACATCCACCTGTTAAGTCACATATGAAAACAGAATTGTCATGAAATCCCACATCACAAACACACCATGAACACCTTCACCTCCCCAGAGGCTACCCAGCATTCCAGACATTTGCTGTGATGCATTTTCAGGATGGCATAATGTCTTATGTTTTTGCTGCAAGAAATTGCATCTGAAGAACTGCACAGGCTGTAATGCAAACTTCTTCCTTTGTTTGAATACCCACTTTCAGATCTAATTCGAAGGAAAAAAAGTGCAAAATTCTGTACTACCAGTACCTTGTTGTCATCTTACAGTAGTCCCACCATAAAAACATTTCTGTGTGTTAGAACAAAGCAAGGGATGAATGAGAACTAATAAAACAGGATTTATTCCTAAAAAAAAGTAAGTACAAGCTTTCCAACATTAGTACCTAATGAGACTGGCAAATAACAGGCCTGAATCCCAGTTACACAAAGCATCTGCAGTTGTCATCAATTTATCCAAGCTGCATCTCTTGGAAACCAGGCAGCTCCTGCACTGAGTAAGGGGACTCTGAATCCATTGTCCTTAAGACAGATGGCTGGGTGGTGTTTAATATAGCTGCTTTGGAAATGGAAAGGAGAGAATCTCTTTGGGGGAGTCAAACACTGCTGACACGGAGGTTGTTTATTATGTCTACTAATACAAAAACATCATCCACACACTTCCGTAAGGTTTTACGTGATCTTGGTAGAACAAACACTTTATACAGGCTCCTTCCTATCAAGACAGGGTTGTAACTTTAAATATAAACACACTCATATGAGAAAACCTAAAGGTTTACAAAAGTCCAGCGAAAGGACCAAATTCTGAATGCACATACGTGAAACTCCCCTGGAAACCAGAGCAATACGCTGGAACACTGAAAGCAAAATTTGGTTCTTAATGTGTCCCTGAAGACTGTAATTATATTTCCCATTGTACTAGTAACATTAATTGAATGTTTAGCTGAAATCAAGTTCATTACAAGTTAAATACAGTACCTAGCCTATTAGGATGGTGTTTATAATTATAGTCATAAAGCACTTGTAAAACATCTTCATTGCAGCAAATAGGTGGAAGTTGGGGTGTAGTGGCTGCTATGCGTCTCGGTTCATTCTCTACACCTTTGCACCTGAGCAGCACTGTAGAGTAAGGTCACAGACGCACCACTCAATCATCTCCACAGCTGGTGCCAACACTGCCGAATTTTAAAGGGTCATGGCCCACAACAGTTAGCAGAAAAATATAATATTGCACAAACTGTTACACAAGGTGTTTTTTTCAGTGCAGCCAGACCTTACAAAACATTCCTAGATCTAGAAACACACAATAAAGATGTACACTCTCATGCAAATATACCTGGTTATTGGCCATCTTACTGGCCTGATAATATAATTTTATCAAGAAACCAATATTGGACAAGGCCTAAGAGATTACAGTCCTCTTTGATATATCAATTTTTATATTTGATTTCCCGTCTCTCTCAGAGCATCATGACAAAAAATATCTAATCTGCTTTTGGTATTGTCCAAAGTCTTTCTGTCTTAACTCCAACTGACACCCTACTCAGAGCTACACTAACTCTGGTGGAAGTTGAGTAATCACTAGCAGTGGACTTCTAGGGGCACTCCATGTGCCCGAGGTAGAAAGTACACAAGTGAACTAAGAATGCAGCAGCCTCTGGTCAAAGTGTTGTGTGTGCTGCACAGGGCTCTGCAAACCCTTGGCAAAGAGTCTTGGTGTCCACACATCTAAGGGTTGAAGAAATCTCATAAGCAGTACATACAGTTGGTGTCACTTCTGCTCAGTTACACATATGAAGGAGCATCCAAATGCAAGTATAACCACTTGGCCTCTCACTTCCATAATAAAATAGGTTCCTTTTTATAGGCATTTTCATAAAAAGAGTAACAATGAAAAGAAAAATTAGTTTTAAGGTATTTTATTTGACATGATTGAAGACACACGAACACTCAAGATACAATCCAGACAAGTTGTGAACAGCTCCAAACATCAGTGAAATCTGAATTTATCTTGCACAGAGGTGAACAAGACCACAATGGTTGGTTTTATAATATAGTTTAAGACTATTTCAAGCAGGTGAGTACTGTGACATTATGCCCAACAACTTTTATACTATTCATCCGCTTAAGCCACTTCATATCATAAATATGCAGCTTATCTTGGCGATTAAATCTCTGCAATATATAATTAGCCTTCTCATAATAATGCATTAAAACTCCTGTATATAAATATTGGTATATTCATACCAAAGTAAACTGTCCTAACCATCACTGCACATTTATCATATTCTAGCACAATTAGTCATTCCATCACAATTCAACGCTAACTTTCAGCCTAGAGTTAAGTAACTTGGACCCAAACTTCCAAGTTGCTGCTTAGAGCAAAACTTCAGCCAAGACCTCTGCTTTCCCTAAGGCCTTGACTTTTCAACATTAAGTTGCACAATGTCATCTGAAACTCCTACCAAAAAAAAAGCTCTGCAGGGAATCTCCTGCAAAAGTATCAGAGATACTATTCTAAAATTATTCATTTTCTAATAAATTTCATATTAATTTTACAGCCTAACATCCTTTATCAAAATGGGCATCCACATGCCACTTACATTGTAAAGTTGTTTAACTGGGTTAGAGACTACAGACCACAGCATAGTATTCTACTTACAATTCTAATTCCTTAGAGACAAGCTAATTTCCCATTCTTAAAGAGGGCAACAAGGACAGCTGGGAGTTTGTTCAGTAGTTCAGTGCTCTGCAAAGATAAGCTTGATAGTGCTCTCATCAGACTGAATGAGGAAGTGCAAAAATATGCAAACCACATTTTATGTTATTACAGCAGCATAATTTCAGCAACAAACCCCTGCTTGGATCCAGGCGGGATCTTACAAGAGGTGAATAAGAAAGGGCAGAGAATCATTACTGTGCAGGGAACTGTGCTTCAGAAGAGCTGCAGAAACTCCCTTAGCATTACCTGCAGACAGGCTGAAAACAGCACAAAAATCATGGGCCACCCGATCCTGTGGTTCAGCTCCTCTGCACAGGGGAGAGGGGGAGGTTGCAGCCATTTATTAGACTAGATTCTATGTTAACTTAAGGCCACTGGAAATAATCTGTGCAGAATTTGACCAGTTCAGTTTAATATAAGATGTAAAGATACCAAAGCCTACTTTTCTTTAAGAATTTTGTCTTTTGGTAGGCGGTAGTGGTAGACAGAGACTGGGTCTTACTTGCAGCTACAATAAATCAGTGTTGCCTGGTTTTGGAAGGTAGTTTTGTGTTTGGTTTTTTGGTTGTTTGGGTGTTGTGTTTTTTGTTGGTTTTTTTTTTTTTAACTAGAGAAGTTCCTTAATAAAAGCCAAAAACGTAGTGAAGAAGCTGTATATCCAGATCAAACAATCTAATTTTTAACTTGGTTTTACAGGAGGATTCATCCATTATTATGATGAACTGCTGGAGATGGAATGGTCACTGTCTGAAACAAAGAAATGAAAATCCCAGCAACATACTAGTGCATCTGTGTAATATGCTTAACTGGTATGACTTGCATTGCAGGAAGAATGCTGTATTCTCTGACACACCAACATTTCTTTCCTATTATTATAAGATCAGCCTTTTATATTTCATATCTTACCATCTTTAAAAGCCTATAATTACAGAAGCTGATTGAGAAACTATGTTATTTAAAATTAACAGCTGAATGAAATCAACAGAGGCAAAGAGCATTTTTATACAAGAAAATAGCACTGTAGAAAGAAAGAGTCTGTACAATATTTAAATATTGTATATACATAAAATTATATTGTTCATAACTCATCTTAAAGTTTCTCTTGTTTGTAAACCATGGAAAGCAACACACACAAAAAAAATTTCCCAGTATTTAGCTTTTAAAGAATTTAGCAGGCAGCAGGAAACTGAATGCTAGCAAGCACACTTTGTAATTATAGAAAGTATCCAGGTGGATACTGTGACTAGCATTCTCTGCACTTTTTTTTTTTTTTTTTTTTTTTTTTTTTTTTATACAGAACAGATTTCACATTCGACCAGGGAATTCTGCAGAAGCCGCAGAAAACTCAATGGCAAAATGCAGTTCTGCAGCTCTTTACTGTGGCAAAACTCCAGGCTAAACACAGAAAGCTTAAGTGCAGGATTGGAACGTAAATTAGTGATGTAATTGATAAAGCTTTCATTTCCCAAAAGTGTCAGTAATGGATTTAACTCATGCTCAACTTAATAGAAAGGACGGTTCGGTTTAACAATTAACCTTTCAAAGTTTCAAGAACGTAATGAATTCCAGCAGGTAATCAGGCAGCTCTATATAAATTCTCTTGACAGTGTCAGCAGTTTAGGGTGATGCTACAGGTTAGCATCAGTCTGTCAAATTGGAGTAGGATCGGGATTTGAATCTGAAATTGTCAGCTCATGGCAGATACAGACTGTGGGTTTCAGAAGTTATCCACCAAAATTGTGCATTTTGCAAAATAAAAACTGTTCCAGTTGCAGGAGAAATTTCCCAGGTGAATGTGCTTAAGGAAAAATTTCCAGAAAGTTATTACTTGGAAAAAAAAGATGCTACCATGACCATCATTGTGCTTCACCTACATTGGAGTTGTCTGCTCATAGCTATGCAAGGAATGCTTTATTTAATGCTATCTGTAGTTTCATTCCCTTGGCTTCTGCCTTCCACTTTACTGGCCATTCAACTCAACTCAGAAATGTATTTTACTCAGTTTAAATGTTTGCTACTCAAAATATATTACCGTACTTTTGATCTGGATGTTTTCTCTCTTTTAAATTATTTAAATCTTCTTGGACAACCATCATCTAAATGTACTTCCACATCTTAACACAGGGCTTAACAAGAAAAGATATAAAATCACTTAGAGAAGTGCTTGAATACCAGATGAGTCAGAGGGACCTTGACAGCCTGGAGAAATGTGCAGACAGGAACCTCAAAAAGTTCAACGAAGGGAAGTGCAAAGTCCTGAACTTAGGGAGGAATAACCCCATGCACCAGTATATGCTGCAGGCCAACTGGCTGGGAAGCAGCTTGGCAGAAAAAAACCTTGGGGTCTTGGCAGACACAAAAGTTGAGCGTGAGCCAGCAATGTGCCCTTGCAACAAAGAATGCCAATAACCTCCTGGGCTGCATTAGGACGACTATTGCCAGCAGGTCAAGGAAAGTGATTATTTCCCTTTATTCATCCCCGGTGAGACCACATCTGGAGTGCCACATCCAGTTCTGTGCTTCTTGATATGAGAGACGTAGGCATGATGATTAAGGGATTGGAATATCTATCATGTGAGGAGAGGCTGAGAGGGCTGAGACTTGTTTAGACTCAAGAAGGCTCAAGGGATGCTACAAATGTGTATAAATGTCTGACAGAAAACTGTAAAGAAGATGGGGCCAGACTTCTCAGAGGTATCCAGTGAAGGAACAGGAGCCAATAGGCACAAATTGAAACTCAAGAAATTCCTTTTAAACATAAGAAAAAATTTTCTTTCGCAGTGAGGGTTGTCAAATACTGGAACAGGTTGCCCAGAGTGTAGGCATCTACATCTCTGGAGACATTCAAAACTGGACAAAGCATCCTGCTCCAGCTGACACTGCTTAGAGCTGAGAGGCTGGACTAGACAGTCAATGGATGTCCCCTCCAACCTCAACTATTCTGTGATTCCATGATTTCAAATGGAGACTAATAAAAATAAGTTTAGAAGACCCAAAAGGGAAATAGCTTTGTTCTCAATAACTTTCCAAAGTATAATGAGCTATTTAATCCAACAGCTTGTTCTAAGAGCTTTGACAATAAAGGCCTTGTTTTCAAACTGGAGCAATCAATATTAGGCTCCTAGTATATATATATTCTAAATCTAATTTTAAGGATTTCTGAGGGTTTTCTTTTCAGTAGGATCTCAGAATTTAAGAAACTCAGTTCCTCAATTCCCGTTTCTTAAGTCATTGATTTTCAGCACTTAAAATTTTGAAAGCACAGGGCGAAAATCAAAAAACCACTACTAATTTGTTCCCATTGCCAGAGGATGGTGCTGTTTAGACAGATATCCCACACAGATGCATCCCCTACAGCAACCACGTGGGTGAGTTTTTCTTGGAAGGAGGAGGAAGAGGAACAACAAGGCAAAGAGATTACTATTTTATATCTTTTTAACTAATCTTCAGGACCCAACAATAATCAGTATTTACTTAATAAAGGTAGACCTTTTAAGCATGCTTGAGTAACTTGGGAACTTTTACTACCTCTGGAACTTTTGCTCCCCAGACTTTTTAAGGGTCTTTCAAAATCCAGCCTTTGGTCGTCAAAGGCCACAAACATGACATACCCCACCTTACTAGCTGTTCTCATATAGCCTGCTGAAATTCAAGTTGATAATGTGATACATAAAAGTCAAAAAATGGAACAGTGGAAGATCAATCTCACAAACAGGCTGTGGTGGGGAAAATGAGCTGTTAGTAGTTTAAGAAATCAATACCAACTTTGACACTTTTAGAGGTGGCAACATCAATGGCCATGGCTTTGATTTCAGTGTCCCCAAACTGCATAAGTGTTTTGATCTCCCGCCGGTTTGGCACTGAAGCATCAGTTCCCGTGAGATCCAGGCGAAGGGTGCCACACTTTTTCACTCCAGATTCAGTGATGAAGCTAACATTATCTTGTTCTGAGCTATAGATATTGATTACTATTACTAACTGAGAAGGTTTGGCAGGTGTGTAACTGCGTGTCACAGTTTCTCCAAGGGCTACGGATTGGTCAGCTGAAATAAATTTGTCAAAGACATCAGTGCACCAGCGTGTGCCATCTTTGATTAGAAGCTTCTCTGGCGGATGCTTTCCTTCCACAAACCGGTTGAGCACACCCACACCATAGGTGAGAGGTGAACGCCGCACTTTGATGACAGCAGGGTCTAGACCAAAGAGAACAGCTCCCTTGAGGATAGTGAGCCCCACATCCTGAGGAATGATGACTCGACACCTCGAACCAAAAGCACTCTGAACAGCTTGTTGGAGTAAGGGGGATTCAGCGAAGCCACCCACCAGGAACAGAAACTTGACATTGGTCACTTCTGGCTTATCAAACACATCACCTAAACAGAAACAGAGCCTGTTCAATGGGGAGAAATACACTGTGACAAGGCAACGCAAGCGAAACTCCTAATGTCCGAGTGCACTGAACATCCCATGCACAAGATCTGAAACTGCCACATCTATGCCCACACTGCCACTCCCAGCACACGCTAGTTCCACTTCTGCAGTCTCTTCTGTACTCTATTTCACTGTGAATGGAAACTTACCTCAAAGCATACAATATTTCTGAAGTGGCATTTAAAACATATTTTTAAATTTAGCTTCTTCCACTAAAGGGAGACATGGATTTCTTGCAAAGATATCCCGCCAGTCACATGGGTAGCAGGGAAACAGACATGTTGCCACTTCAAGTATCAGTGAGATATCACTAAACCTAACCGGTTAAATCTGCATGACCTTTATTGCATTCCAGATAACTCACTGCATTTTAAATTCACTTATTACTTCTGACCTTAACAACTTAGCCACGATAAGCACCACCTCCAAACTGATACCTCCTTACGTTTCTACAGATGTTCCTTCTTAGTTTAAGCCCACATCCACTACTTTGAAGAATATCATACAGTTCAGTTGTAGGCTCATCCTTAGCTCAAATAACTGAGGCAGCATGATTGAGTTACCTGTCACAACTATTGTAATTCTAGGTCTCTCCCTCCCTGCTCACATATAAGCTGTTCTGTACTAGTTGTCTTACTAAGTTGTGACCTCTGAAATTTACTTAGTAATCACTCACATATAGTGAGCAAAGCTGGATATTCCATTCCGAATACAATTCAATTAGTGCTTTGTAATGTGTGGAACAGCTATACTTTGCTCAGTACATGTATTATACTCGATATAAATCCAATCTTCCACCAGCAAAACTTCAAATAATAGATTTCCCAATGAGCCTATGTCACTTCCCATTACTAGACAAATAAATCCAGTGCTGCTTAAGCCATGCCTGGAAGTACTTTTATCAGGATGCATTATTTGTGTTTTAGAGATGTCAGTGATTTGGACAGTCATGAACAAATGTGACCTTCCACTGAGGAAAAATTAACTGTCTTAATAGCAGGAATAATCAGAAACTAGTTACATCTCTGGCATTATGTAGTTGTTGCCTGAAACAGGAAACAGAACAGCAGGATCTGGGTTAGTCTGTGCATTTCAGCCTTCTGAATGCTTGTAGCCCTGGGAGTACAGCATAATCGAGGCTTAGGCAGTAACAGGACTAAATCACACTCAGTGTATACTACTGTATTAGAACTAGGTAGAAATACGTTAAAGGTGATCTCCCTTACTACTTTTGTAGAGAACTACAAGTTTCAGAACTAAATTCCTTGCCCACATTCGGTGTGTACTAGGGAGGTTGTTTGACTTTAATTCCAGTTGCTGGTTTGAAACAGGTAAACAAGGTTTCAGTTTCAGCTCAGCCAGAAAGTGGAATTACACACAGATACGTACTGAGGTGCTGAACGATCTGGTCAATTGTAGGCTTGAAAAGAGCATTCATTGCATCCGGGCTCATCCTCAGCATTCCCTGGGAGGACCACTTCACAAAATCCACACTGTAAAAGAAGTTGGAAAGGATATTAAAATATTACAGCTGAGCACACACAAGACACGCTAAATAAATGAGTGAGTTTAGAGAATCCATATGAATTTTACTTAGAAAAAAGTGCCTCACCTCAACCTAGCCCCATACCAACTACAACAATGTAAAATTTCAAGGAAGAATTGTTATTTTTGCTTGTCTAATTGTTGTTTTCTTCGCCCGACTGCCTTCTGTAGCATTACCAATGTTCAGCTGCTTCCTGAAACAGCTGGCAGCCAATGCAGTGCTCGCTCATCTGAAACAACACTGATTCATCCCCAGAAGGGCAACATTTAGATTATAGCAGTAGCAGGCCAAAGCCACAGGAAACACACAAGGAAAACAGGCAAGTATGGGAAGCCTCAGGAGGCAGAAGGAGCGAAGCATTTTTAATGAGGCATAACATTTGTTAAGTGAATACAGGCATTATGTTATTCCATCACTGACAGAAATCCACATAGCTCAGTAATCTCCTTTTCACTCATGTACATTATGTGTCACCTTTATATTTTTTTTTACCAAGTTATCCAATTAATTTCATTTTATTTGAAGGGAACATTTAGCCATTCCCTCTAAGATTCACCATTAAGGCTATTAATAAGAAGGAGATGGTCTGAGGGAGAATATTTCCAGAAATTTTCAATGATTTCAGAACCTCAGTCTCATATAGGAAGTGCCTCTGACCTGGATTCCAAGTCATTTAGGCTTAAAGTACATTTACCAATAACTTTACGAAGACATGCAGGAGTTTCAGCCTGCATGCAACATTCATCATTCCCTGGATTAAAAAAATGCAGAAAGAAGCCAAGGCACAGGTACTAAATATTACGTCTTCTGCTCTCAGGTCCCAAGCATCCTGCCCCAGATTCACAGGCTCTCTTGTTCATTCTCTTTTATGCCATTATTCACCAGATCTCCTGTAGTATACAATTCCAAAAGATGCAAAATGCCCACTTCTACTTTCTCCTCACTTCCTTTTCTATAGCAGCCCATTATCTTTTCATTTAGGGTGCCTTCTTGATACTGAAAATCATGAAATCTCTGGAGGGGATTATGCCTCCCCACCTACCAAGCAAATTATCTTACTGGTAAAATACTAGAAGAAAAGAAAGCATGTCATCACTTCCGAAGAATGCCTTCCCCTTGCAAAGCTCTATGCAGTTGTATATTTTTTCACAAGTGATCTGGTGTTGTTAATAGCTTTCCTCAGGTCATGAATATATTTCCACATCTCACTCAAGATCTTGGATTTGTTTGAGGGCCCAGGCCTCTCAGAATTAAGATTCTAGTAACTAAATTCTAGACATCAAATTCTGTATTTGTTCTCATATTCCTAACTAACACATAAGGGACTCAGAATATATGATCCAAATTCAGGAAAGTGATGCAGTGGTGACCCAACAAAAGTCATAGAAAGCAATACCAGAAGAGTGCAAGTCTTGTACAGAAAAACTTTTGCAAGAGATTGACCACAACTTTTCCTTCTGGAAGCTGCACTTCAGGTGATCCCGTTTTCTCATCCTTGTATTGCATTTTCACATTATTACCTTTCAGTCTACAAGTAATTAGGATATTTTAATTATTTGTCTTTGCTACCAGTAGTTAATTCTGCATCCATTTGGGTTCAATCATCTACTCACTTGCTTTTCCTCAAGGCATGTTCTACACTGTGACCTCGAAACTTCTTGTAATAGTCAATGAAGGAGAAAGGCAGAGTGATGTTTAGTGGATTGGTCCTGTCTGGAGCTGCTGCTCGTTTACGGGACTCAAATGCTATCATCAGATCTACCCAGGCAGCAGGACGCTTGATTTTAAATTGCTCAATAAAATCTTCTCCAAATATTTTACACAGGAGCTTTTCAAATTCATAGTCCACACCTAGAGAACCATATGGCCCACCTGTATTACAAACAAAACACAGCTTTAATATTCTGAACTGCTTATTAGATTCCAAGCTGACCAAATACACATCAGATCAACACTACGAGAACTGTCATGGGAGGTCCACAAAATGAGGTATGTTTCCTAAAGGCAGCAGGTGGTCTAATACAGAACATAATCTTACCTTTGTCTCACTTTTACTCCTATACCGTCATAGCCACTGTATCACTATCACTATAAAACAGAAACATTTTTAGTAGAAGCAGAATAACTGCCTCCCTATCCACACATGGGAAGGTGTGGTTTGGACTCATATTTAGGAGCAGACAGACTTGATGTACACTGTCCCATTTGCTCTTATTAGGTTGTTTCCTGAGGTAGTCTTACAGCCACCAAGACTGAGAAGGCCCACTGATGAACCATAGAGGTGAACATCAGCTTGGTATAGAGACTCAGCAACAAATAATAGGCTTCTCATGTGCTTAACAGATTAGCCACAGGACAAAGTCAAGGGGGATACTGAGTTCAGGAAGGGAATACCATTCAAGGAATTGCATTTTCTATCTTTGTTGGGGACCAACCATTGCCCATTCTTCCCAGGAGACAGCAGACCCTCCTTGTTACACTGCCTGTGAAATTACGGGAATATATGATTCCCCTTAAATCTACAGAAACTTCTGTTCTGGCAATAGTCACCTTAAGAGGATCTTGATGTGACACTCAACTATTCATATCTCCACAATACATCTCTGAATACCTGAGCAGAGAAGCAATACACAGGTGACCTCTCAAAGGACAGGAAGATGACGAGTCCATTAGCAGAAGTCAGACCAGGACCATGGCAGGAGGTCATGGCCTGAATAGAAGTGAGTAACACGAGAGATGGCAGTTTCTTACTCTCCCCGTGTCAGGACTACCATCCAAAAGCATCAGAAGCATGAAGTGACTTACACATCTGATGACTAGCAACTAGGTTATATTAATTTTGAATGTTGGTCTTATTTCAGGAAGAACTGTTAGTGAAATGTAGCAAATAATAAAGGAATAGATTTCCTTCACAGACAAGTCAAAACATTACATAAACAAAGCAAGCGGTGGAAGTGACGGTACCTGTTGCCTTGTATAGCTCTTTAAGATGTCCTTCAGGGAGTCTGATCTGATGGACAGTCATATCCACTGTGCCTCCTCCACTGTCAACAACGATGTAACGGTCACCTAGTTTGCCAAAGGAATGGTATTTACATTAGTGTTATCCCAACAGCATACTGCAATGAAAGCTTCTCAGGGGCACTATCACCATGGGAGATAGTGACTGACAAAGTCATGAACATCTGCACTGAAGGCTTGATCTTTATTAGTAATTATAACACAATGATTGATAACAAATATGAAATTCAGTTGTCAAAAGCTATTGATTTAGCACAGGTGAAAAGATCAGTGGAACTGCTCATGCTGCTAGTGTACGTTTTAGAGGGCTACAAATTAATACTATGGCATATTTACAAAGCCTATTCTGAGGAAAATATTCTGGATACATTTTAAAACTTGGACTCCTTTATACCATCTCTTTAACGAACCATATTTTGCTAGAGCATACAGAATTGCAGTTCAGCCTTAGTAACCGAGAGCAGCACATGAACTTGTATTTTTTTCTTTTCCTATTTATAATCACTGTGGGAACAGTGCAGTGCACAGCACATTTGTAGGAAACAAAATGTTTGCCTCCAATATAAAACCAGTAAGAGCAAAGTTCATTCAAGAAAGGACACTACCTTCCTCCAGTTCGGACCAGATCTCTCCTATGACATTTTCCACCAAAAAGGTACGACTCTGTCGATTCCGACGGACGTGTTCCTTAGCTAGTCATTGACAGAGAAAAAATTACTGAGTATAAGAAAACATGAAGAAGTTGATTATTATCAGCTGCAGGAAAGAAGTGCAAGCAGGCTGACAGATCCTTATGTATCACTTCTTAACAAAACAAACAAAAATTGCATTAGAATCAGGAACATTATAATGCTGTTCCTAGAAAGAAGGAAAAATGTTTTTCAGCCCCACTGATCTTCCTTGATACTAAATGGATTAAAACCAATAGCCTAATGTGAAAGCTATAAACGGGACATTTTTCTTTTTTTTTTTCTTTTTTTTTAAAATATTCTGGATTTTAAAGCGCTGCCTGGGCCCTGGTGGTCTCGCAGTCAGCTGTGCTCGCCACAGCCTGTGCCGCCAGGCGGCAGCCCCATGCCGCTGCCACACCGACCCGCGCTGCCTGGGGCCGGGGAGACGATCTCCACATTTCCAAAAGCCACTGCTGATTTGGGGTGTTCAGGGAAAGATGCCTCCTGAGCCTTTCAGGATGTCGGTCTGTCTCAAAAACAAGCTGCCAAAAGCACTGCTTCTCAGGTTTGTAACTTCTTAAGGCCACAGTGCTCACCAAGTTTGACCCTCATAATATTTTAAATATACACCAATTAAAAATTAAGCATAATCTAGCACTACCATTATAATAAACAGTTAACTTACAAGACTTAATTGCTACTTAGACATTTAAAAGATGCAGAACAGTCTGTGAAGAGAAAGCAGAGCAGTGAGAGCCTTTGCTATTACGTTTCTATATCAACCTCTACAACTGAATGATCCAAAAAAAAATAATTCCCTGGGTAACCTTCACTCACGTTCAAAGGCACTTCAATAAAACACTACAGAAGAAAAGAGGCACCCTGTCATGCACGAAAATATCATTTGGAAAATATCAGCATGCAAATAACTGAATGTGTTTTGCTTCTTGTTTCTATAGTGCCTATCATCAGAAGACGACCAGCAGCTCCACTTGCACCCGTGTCGTCCCCATGAAGACCCTGCGATGCAGACAAGCCGCATTAGCCTCGCTGCACCGACTTCGCAGCACACAGCGAGAGATTAAACGACAAAGCATTCAGTGACAGAACGAGCACTAGGTCCAAGCAAGGGCCTGACACAGAGCCCACAGAACTCAATGGGAGTTCTTTCATTCACTCCTGTGGGCTAGAAGTGAACACAAGAGCCAGTCTTTAACTACGACTGAAGTAAGCTTATCCTGGCTACTATGAACAGTAAAATTTTTGTTTTGACTTCACAGCAATAATGTGGTCCTTGGAGTGCTTCTCTCTGTTTATATTTAAAGGGCTTTTCTCCTTAATCTGTTCTCAGCTTGTCTTGGGTGCCTGCCATGCCTTTATGAAATTTTAATTCTAACCCCAAATTAATTCACTCCAAACTTTGTTTTCATTAATTTTGACATGAAGCCTTTCTCAAGTCAAATAGCTTTTACCATACAAAGTCAAGAAGGAGAATGGTACCCTCCATCCCAGAAAATGCCCATTAGCAGAAATCCATGATCTGCCAGATTCTGTCCAGCTTCAAAACCTTAACTAGAGAAACTCTTTTCTTTTATTATTTTCCCAGAGGCAAATCCCTGTGCAGCCTTAAAGTGAGTTCATGTAAAAATCACATGGAACTGGAAAGGTTTAGGACACGAGCAAGGGGACAGGAGGTGAGGGGCCCCTGAAGGGACTGTGTCCTGTAAAGGGATTGTATCCTGTGCTCTGTGTGGGCCTCCATAACACTGAACACATCTGACAAGTGCTGGCTAGGAGATACGGATTTGAGAGAATGATGTAGTGACTCTGCCTAACTAAAAGAAAAATACTCTCCGGTAAGTACAGAAATAGCTTTACTAGCTTATTCTTTCATTTGCCTGTACCGTTTTGACCTAGTAAATGTGACAAAATAAAAATTCTGCTGAAAAATTCCTTCTGTGATAGATTGACACACTACCATCAATATCAGTGCAACTGTGACAATTCAGACAGATGGGAAATCTGTACATTATGCAGTAATCACAGCTTAGGGCTGCTTCATTTTCCTTTTTTTTTTTTTTTTTCTTCTCTCGTATTTTCTCAGGTAGGATACCAAGCTCAAAAATCTTTGGTGATGAAGGAACTTTTGCCAAGTGACTTACACTGTGGTCCAATCTCTGTCCCTCATTGTAAGTCACTCTTCAAATTATATTAGCAACAGATCCCAGGTCAATATATCAGAAGTGCTGTATCTAGTTGCTCTTCTATGAGCAGATAAATTAATTCCTATATTCCAATATGGTGTGTTCGCTTGAGTGCTGAAAGTAATTAACGATATTTCATAAAGATTGTATCAAAAAGCATCTGCCAAAATTCTGGAACATCTCAGACTAAAAGTCTCCTTCAAGATCCAGTTATTTAACACTGCTTCAGTAATGCAGCTAATCAAATATGCAATTCTTTCCAACAAGCTGAATTTTTAAAAAAGATCCGACATGAAGTATTGCTTTTAATTAAGGCAGAAAAATATTGTTGTGAAAATACTAAAAGACTCCCAGAACATCCCAATGAAGGCAAGGCAGTGAAGCTACCTGCATGCGAAAATTCAAGTGTGTGCAAACACGTCTACTTGGATCAATGCCTAAACTAGTCTAAGTACAGTAAACAGTGAAACAGTTTATAAAAGCAAACTGATGCTAGTCAATTCAAGATTGATGGAAACTGATGCTAACATTTCAATGAGAAACGGTGAGAAAACAGCCCTCACGGACAAAGCAAACTTATGCATAAGAATCTAAAGAAGTGAGTTAATAGAAGTACCCTGTGTAAATCCAGTTCCAATAGTGTCACTTGGACTATAACCATTGACAGGCGCCCTACTACTCAGGTCTATCATCTGGTGCAGGCGGAGCTTTCGGCAGTAGATGGAGGCAGCCTCGGGTTCCAGGGCAATGATCAGCTGCTCGGGATTTTCAGGAGATGCCATTCCTGCCTGCGAGAGAGAATTGATCAGAGAAGTGGGGTGGGAAATACTGCAACCTAGCAGGCCCTTTTCAGCGAGTGAACAAGCCTTCCCCCAGCTCACGGTTTCGGTTAGGTCAGCCCTCTGAGTTCAACTGCAAAGGCGCTGTGGCCACTGCCGAAAGGTCTTGATCTGGGGATGGTCCTGCCCACAGTGTACAGCACAACGTCACAGGCTGTAACAGGGAAGTACGCATGCACTTACCACGCTAAGTGTCTACCCGAGCAGCTGCGCGCCTGACGGGAGGAGAAAGGAAGAAAGCTGTTTTGAAACCTGTAATGAATGGCCTAAAACCCGACCTCCTAATTAACCCGTGAATCTGCCTGCTAAGAGGGGCCCCAGCCTCCCTTTAAGAAATGAAGGAACACCTTTGGCCTCTCCTCCCCACAACAATATTTAAGTATGCCTTTCTTTATATCTTTATATACATATGTCCTTGCCGAAATGGACTCCCTGCACTGTGTAGCTTACTAGGAATATACAATACACTTTGCCAGTAATGCATCTTCTGACTTAAACCTGACATTTTCTATCTCAAAATCCATTGCTTTTAAGCACATTCACTTTTATAACATCTTCAAAATGCTCAGTATATTCAAACACTCAAAATACAATAGGGCAGGTTCCCTAAAATGTAATGAGAACAAGCCTAAAAGTAATCCCACATTATAAAATCAACATTTGCGATTCTTTCTGTTTTCTTTCTGGATTTCCAGTCTCCAGACACAGATTTTCAAGAACCCACAAGTCCTCATGTAACCACATCACTCAGAGCTGGGCTTAGAGAAAAATATGAAAGAGCATTTGACTAAATTGTGTTTCCTTTTCTCCTGTACTTCCCCGTACTCTATAATTTCCTGTTAAAACAGATAACAACATCTTTCAAGTCTTTCTGCCTAACTTTGGGTTTATCTGCTACTGTTTTCCAGTTAAGTCCCTGATTACCGAAGCATGCTAGCAAACAAATACATGTACAGATATTTTTCTGCTTCTGCAATCAGTCTTCCTGTGAATCTTAACTTCCATTCATACACACATACACACTGTGGTGGCTCCAGAGCATCCCTGAAAGAAGGCAAACTCAGACAGAAAGACTGCAGACCTGGACTGGAATTTCGCTTCCTTCATACAGCTACACTGTGGGCTGTGGGACTTGCTGGCTAGTTTACACCTGCAGCTAGAAACTCAAGGTAAAGTTTGTTCAAAAAGCAATATTGGGGCAAGACTTGGAGACATAAAATTGTCCTTCACATTGACATTTGACCCGCTCTATCTTAATAAATAAGATAAATAGATTTTTATAAAAGGTATCTTCCTCATTGTTGATAACAAAAAGGGAAAACCAACAACAAATAAATTCAAAAAAAGAGAGAAACTAATCATGGTTGCTCATTATTTTAAAATGATTGGGATTATGGTCACTTTACATCCTGTATGGTGGTTAGGCAAAACCTTCTGCTTTGGTTACATCCACTGGACTCAACAGCATGATCTGAAATTAGTGGAACTGTCTGGGAAGGAGAATACTATGCAAAAAATACCAAAGCTTGACAGCTATGTGGCAACATACATTGTAAAAATATTACATTGAAAAGAATGTTTGCAACCAAACTTTCAAAATTTGGAAAATGCAGATTTTACAGCAGCCAGAGTAGCCCTAAAAGATGTAAAAAGACTATCAATAAAGCACAGGTCCAAGCCAGATTCTCCTGCCATCATACCACTTGCATGCAAACATGTTGACAGGCACAGGCTTAGATAAAGCTCTAGAGCTGTACTGGGGATGAAGATCAAGTTCTGGCATTGTGCCTTAGTATAAACCCACTCTTTCCTCCAACTGGTCTGGTTCTACTAGGCACAAGCAGGGTTGGTTTCATGCCAGCTCACTTCAACATCACTTATCTCCAGCTGCGCTCCCTCTACACACAAAGTTTTCATTTATTACATTGGAAAGGACAACATTCAAGGTAAGAATCAATACTTGGTCCCTGACAGATATTTATCTAATCTGCTAAAGAATTCCAAAAACGCATGGTCTCTGCACACAAACTACCTCAGCCCTTTAATGTCTTTGCCTTTGGAAGGTTTGCTAAAAGCCTAATCTGAATCTTTCTTGCTGCAATTTTAAGGTCAGTACTTCTTGCCCTCTCCAATAAGGGCATGGAGAACAAATAGCTCCCTACTACCCTGCTGCAGTTTTCACATATATTATATCCATTATGAGGTCTTGTGAGAGCTCTGAATCTGAGCAGTAAGTGCTTTTTTTTTTTTTGCTTTTTTTTTAATATCCAGTGATGTACATGACTGTAGCATGCTCAGTCTACTCCGTGTACTGGGCATATGTTAATAGCACAAAGCAATTCTTAGTCTCATGTCTAAGCTACATACTAAAAGAGAAAATTACATTTTAGGGAAAGAAGAGTATTAAAATCCAAAGGCTACATCACAAAGCATTTGCAGAGGTGACAAGAAGTACATCTGTCTCTTAT